ACAAAGCACCACAGAGGGGCCAGCTTAAACCACAGGAATTTATTCCTCCCATTCTCAAGGCTGGAAGCTGAGATCCGGTGTCACAGGGCTGGCTCCCCGAGGCCTCTCTCCCCGACGTGTAGGCGGCACCTTCTCCGTGCCCTCCTGCGGTCCTCCCTCCATGCATGTCTGTGTCCTGATCTCCTCTTATGAGGACCCCGGTCACATGGGATTAGGGCCCACCTTAGTGACCTCATGTACCTTAATCACTTCTTTAAAGGACGGACCTCCAAAGACAGTCACATTTTGAGGTGCTGGGGGTTCGGACTCCAATACATGAATTTGGGGGACACGGTTCAGCCCCTGACACCACAGCAGAGAAAACGTAACGAGCCACCCCCCGTCCCCACCTCAGCAGCCCCCCTCACAGCCCCTCTGGGCCCACTGACACCCCCTCTTCTTCCACCAGTGATTTGCAAGCAGAGCCCAGACTTCATCATTTCACCAGTAGCAATCCCGTGGGTATCTGCATCTCAAGGACAAAGGCGCTGGCAGCCGCTGTGCAGGCCATTGTCACCCCGGCTCCGGGGCGGGTTCTTGGCTACAACCGCGCCAGCCCACACCCACCCTGGCACACGCTCTGATCAGAGGGTCCCCGTCCAGCCTGTCGTCTTGGTTTTCTTCCTACAGTGTCTTTGGTGCATCTGTGTCTCCCGGCCTTCCTTTTGCTGACTGCGTGCTGGTCGTCCGTGTCTTCTGGAAGCTGGTGGCTTGATCCACAACTAGAGAGATCCCATTCCTGTCGGGCACGCCCAGCCCCGCCCACCTGCTGGTCTGCCTCCGGGCAGGACCCTCTGTCACGCACATGTGCCTGGAATGGTGGGTTCTGGACGCCTGTGCGAGCCCTTCGTGGGCGCCCCCACGGACACGCCCCCTCCACCCCTTGGCTGTCGCGAGGGACAGTCTCACGGGACAGGCAGCACAAAGCTTGACGTTGCCCCTGGGCCAGTGTCACGATCGGGAGATGGTTTCATAGGGTCGTCCAAAGGCAACCAGGGAGGCTGGGGCGCGTGTGTGAGCGTGTATAAGCAGAGGTGTGTGGGTGAGGGTGTGCGTGTGCGTGGACGTGAGCGTGTGCCCTGAGGCGTGCGGGCGTGAGGCTCCCATCACGCGTGGCTCTTCCTGTGTGCGTTCCAGTGTGCCATCTGCTTGGGGCCCTGGGTCCTTCGGGCAGAAAGTGGTGCCCTGGGCCCGGATGGATCACCGCCTGGACCCGCTCTGCTAGGGGCTCGTGCTGAAGTGTGCGGGGCGAGAGTGGGCAGTGCACTTTCAGGTCTGGGTTGAGCTGGCTGCCCGACGACACAGACGTGCAGAGGACACGCATGTCTGCGTCTGTGCCTGTCAAACCCCTTTTTCATGGGACGGTTTCTCGTAGACAACTTCTAATGGCTTAATCCAAGTAGCTCAGCTGGGCACTCATTGCACGTCACCCTCAAGGGTTGTGTTACAAGCCCTCGTGTGGCCCTCGAGAAGGGTGACCATACAGTTGACCTGACACTTTTGAGGGTGATGGGCCCCTGGTGATGGCCCAGGGCCGAAGCTGTGGGCAACGTCTCGGGAAACCGGTCCCCCCTGTCCCCCATGAGGTCCCGAAGGGACCCGCCTCCTTCAAGCAATTTCCATGGCCCCCGCATGCTTCCTGCCCACCCCGGCCCCGGCAGAGCTGGGGCGGGTCCGTGGCTCAGGCCGCGTTCCGTCGGCACCTGCCCATCTCGTCTGTGGGAGGCCTGCCTGTTTGCTGAGGGTCGAGGCTGTTTGGTCACTCACACGTCCTTTCCCCGCCGGCTGCAAAACTCAGACACCAGGGCCGTCTCCCCGACGCACACAGAGCGGGCACAGGGATGCATCCTCTGAGAGGCAAATGTGCTCACATGTCTTGTCCACGGGGAGTGGCCGGTGAGTGGATGTCATCCGCTCACCAACCAGCAATTTGAACGGTGGCACTTGCCCCAACTCCAGGGTCACCCCTTCAAGCCTCGTCATCACCCCAGTTGGTCCGGGCAGACTGGGGTGCTGCCTCCCCGGGGTCTCAGAAGCCGTGGGGAAACTGGGTGCTCTTTCTGGACCCCTGAGATCTGTTGTTCTCTTCTGTTACCTGCAGTAGCCGCCGTCCTGGCCGTGGAATGTGGCTGCACAGTCGGGGTGTGTCCGCGACCCACGAGTGCTCTGAGCGTGCTGGCCCCGGAGCTCCTATCCGGCGCTTTGCTGTCTGTTCATTCTGTCTACGGCACAGGCACCGGCTTTAGGGTCCATTTACGGGGACACATGGCAAAGTATCCAGTGACTCAGCTGCCCTGCAACCTGGAGGAGCAGCGGCCACGGGTCATAGGATGAGCGGGTGCGCGGGGCTCCCAGCACAGCTCCCGGAGCCGGAGCTCTGGGCCGTCAAGGTGACAGGCAGACGGAGAGGCAGGGCCCCGCCAGCAAGGAGGTGGGGTGTCTCCGCCCTCCCTCCGCAACAAAGTTACAACAGCAAGGATGGAAGAGGATATGTTTTGAAATGAAGGAAAGGCTACATTTTAAAACTTGTGGGATTGAATTAAAGTCCTTAGAGAAAGCTGCCTTCTCCATGTGAATTGGGGGGAAATAAGGTATTTCTGAAAATATGCTCCAGGCTCTTCCCTCAAGAAGTTAGAAAAAACGTTAGGGTACACTCAGAGTGGAAGAGGGAGGCCCCTGTAAGATACAAAATTAATGTGACTGAATAGGTCGCAGCAGAGATAAGGAACAAATGCACAAGTGGTTCTGTAAACAGATTAGTGAAGGGGAGGGCTGTCTGTCAGCACGGGGGCGAAGGGCCTCGGAAGCACAAACGCTGTGAACAACGGCGCCGCAGATCAGGGCAGGGTTGACGTAACTTCAGGGCAGCGGTTCGCACGATTATCCTGGAACTGCACGACGACGGGGAAGCGGGTGGGAGGAGGATCCTGCTGAGGACGCCCAGAGAGTCCCTCCGTGACAGAAGCACTGAGAGCACTCCAGGAAAGAGGAAACCTACATAAACGGCGAAAAGCACTGGGACAGCCCTCAGGAAGCTCCGTAGGAGTTCCTCCAACGAGGTGGGCTGGTGTCTGGCGTGGTGACCGCAGGACCCGAGGGTGGTGGCGCGGGGGACGTGACCAGGCTCGCCTTCCAGACGCGTGTTGGCAAACAAACCTGGCGAGGCCTTACGAGAGGTGGCTTCCCGGCGCTGGAACCGAGATTGTGACACCAGAGAAGCTGTGGCCGCCGTGGGTCACGTGGGCAGGGTGACAGATGAGCACGTAACTATCCCGCAGGGAAGACTTGTGGTGACATTCACCCCGTTCACGCTGACCCCAAAACAAGGCGCTTAGAAAACCCGGGGTGGGAGGCACGTTCC